GTACATGATGTCATAATCAAAATTTTTTTATTTTTTTATTTTTCCCTTTCTTTTTTATTTTTTGTATACCCCTCACCACTATTTGAGTAAGATGCCTTATTTTGACAAATCACCCCTAATGAAAGTTAATATGAGAAGATAGGTCATGTCAAACAAACTTGCTTAAAGTATCAGATGATTCATGTCATTTTATAAAAAGAACAGATTGATCATAACTCAAGTTGTCTTAAAGGCCATAAGGTTTTTTTTTTTTTCAATGTGCCCCAAGACACTGAATAAGGATAATTTTAGGGTAGAGAACTGGGAGACTGATATGTTTGGGACCATTTTTAAAGGATTTGGGTGGCTTTGATTTTTAAAAAATTTTTCAAAGCTTCAACATAACTTTAACTCATCAAAGTACCACATCTAGATCCTTGAAAAAATATCGTGTTTGTTTGATCTTTTAGGAATCCTAATTTTTCCTTTTGTTTTAAAATTGGTTGTTTCATTGTTCATTGTTTGATAAAAGATTATAACCCTTTTTATACCACAATATTATCAAGAGAAGGCAAGGTTCACAAATTGAAGTTTATGTCTCTTAAGAGGTTATGGTTGATGAGTAGAATCATTTGAGTGATTAAAAATGATGCGAAGGCATTTGGTGGGTTTATTTCTAATAGAGATCATCAATTCTTTCGAGACTTCTACCATTTTGTATTACAAAAGAAAACTTTATATTCCTTTCTTTTTCTCTCTTTTTTTCTTTTTTTTTTTTAAGGCATTTCTCATTTTATGACTTTGAAAATTAATTATATGAGGCTTTATTCAAATCCAACAATTTTTCTTTTCCTAAAAAACAATCTTAAAAATCCAAAACTTAAAAGGAATTGAAAACCTCTAATGACAATATGAGACAAAGTGATGCACAATAATTGAAACTTGAACTAACCCTAGCCCTAAACCAAACCTTAAACCCTAAGTCAACACCTTAACCCTAAACCAAACCCTAGTCTCTAAACCCTAATTGCTAACCCTAAACCAAAACTTAAAACCCAAAACTTAAACCCTAAACCCTAAACCTCATACCTTAACCTTAAAACTTAAACCCTAACTCTAGACCCTAACCCTAAACCTTAAAACAAAAATCCAAATCTAGACTCTAAACTAACCCCAAAAAACTCGATCCCATTCATGCATTTGCATTTCATTTCATTTTGTTGTTACATGCATATTTTTCATTTATACTTTGTCATTCATGTTTAATTATCATGCATTCATCATATATTATTATTATGTTCATGTATACCTTGCATATGTTTTATACATTAGTTTTTTTAAAAGAAAAATATTTTCAAAATAAATATAACCTTTGAGAATCTGGCCTAAATAGGGGGACTCTCAATTTTAATTATTTATCCGAAATGTTATCTCAATTTTGTAGGGGTAATTTGAAAACTCTTAAGTTAAAGATATTTTTGAAGCTTTACCTAAATATAGGAGAGTGGAAGAAGTGTTTTGAGACTTAGGACTTTTTCATCTTCATCCTAAAAATAAATTGTTTTGCTTTTTAAAAAAAAATTAAAATGATTTGCTTTCAAAAAGAAATTAAAAAGAATTCAATTTTTGGAATAAACAAATGACAAAAGGAATTAATCTATAAATATTAAAGTGGGACCATTTTTACCAAAATTTAAGGATAACATGTAATTAATTGGCACCGTTTTCAATAGACACTATAAAGTGCTAATCCTTCCTCACGTGTAACCGACTCTTGAACCTAACTCTAGTTTTCGCAGACCACAAATGTTCTTTTATTGAACTTTAAACTCATTTTAAATATTTTATTAAAAGAAAAAAAATTTTAATGACCAATCACACCCTAAAAAAATTTGATGGTGACTTTTGGTTTTTATTGAAAATGCTTTTTGGCTCATTTTTTTGTTTTTCCCTAATTTAGGCAATCAAGTTCCTAGACCTATACGTCGGGACAGTCATTGATTTTTGGGTTTTTGTTGAATTTTTAATGGTGCTCTTTTAGTATTTTTAAAGAGAAACCAACGAAAATGGGTAAAGTGCATTTATGGTCTTAAATCTTTTATTTAGGTTCCACTTTAATCCTTAACCTTTAAATTGTTCCATGATATAGTCCTCTGATCAAATTTTGCATAAAAATAAAAGAGAATTACAACTTAAGATAATAGATCCAGAACTATTACTTTTCGCTATCATACTAAAATATATTTATAAATAAGACTTTTAAAATTTTTAGAATGAAATTGAATTATCATTTTTGCCCCTAGTTTTCAAAATTCAACTTAAAATTAGAGAAAAATGATACTTTAGTTTACTTCTTATTAATTTTAAAATTTTTATTTTCTTTCTAATAAATATATTTTAGTATGATAGCAAAAGGTAATAATTTTGGGTTTATTGTGGTTTTATTTTCTTTATTTATTGTTATTTTATCAAATTTTGTTATTCCTAAATTTATAAATTTTGATAAAAAAATATAAAATTAAATCCTATTACGAATAAAGCTAGAATTTTTCTTAAAAACAAAATAGAAATGAAACATACCCAAATAGTGCTTTAACAATTAATTAAAAAAATAATTAATAATTATAGAAAATACATTTTGTTAAGGAAATATTTTATTAGAAGTAATTCATTTAAGATCACTTGGCAAATGAGAAAAATTCTTAGTGTTTAAGTTTAAAATTATAGTTAGAATGTAAACATTATTAATTAAATCCTTTAGTATATATAAGCTTTTTTTTTTTTTTTTGAGAAAATAAATGTCAACCACACAATAGTTAAAATTATTTGGATATGTATCATTTCTTTCTTTTTTATTAAAAATAATTTTTAACTTTATTTTTAGTAGGATTTAATTCTATATTTTTATCAAAATTTGTAAATATTAAGGAAATAAAATTCAATAAAATAAAATCAGAAATAGAATAGGAATAATGGATCCATAATTATTTCTCTTTATTATCATAACAAAATATATTTATTAAAAAATAAAATTTTTGTAATTATTATGAAAGAAAATGAGGTACCTTTTTTTCCTCTAATTTTAAGTTTAATTTTTAAAATCAAGAAAAAATTGATACTTTCATTTCCTTTTAAAAACTTTTATAAATTTTATTTTTTTACCTAGAAATATATTTAAATTATTTTGGTATGTCTTATTTCTTTCTTTTTTATTAAAATAATTCTGACTTTGTATTTAATAGGATTTAATTTTATATTTTTATTAAAATTTATAAATATTGGGGAGATAAAATTTAATAAAATATAATATAGAAAAGAAATAAAATTAGGATAATGGATCTAAAATTACTACTTTTTACTATTCTACTAAAATGTATTTATTAAAAAATAAAAATTTCATAATTATTGCGAAGGAAACCAAATTACAATTTTATCTTTGATTTTAAGTTGAACTTTTAAAATGAAAGAAAATTTTATATTTTAGTTTCCTTCTGAAAAATTTTATAAATTTTATAAATTTTCTAATAAATAAATTTTGTATAATTGTAAAAAGTAATAATTCTGAATTTATTATTCTAATTTGTAATTCCCTTTTATTTTTATGCAGAGGGATCATATCGACACTATTTTAAAAAGATTTAGGATTATTATAAAACAGATGAAAGGTTAGGGATCAAAATGAAATAGAATAAACGGTTTGGGGCTATAAGACACTTTACCCAACGAAAATATACGGAAAGGGGGAATCAGGAAAAAAAAAAGTTCTGATTTTTTGTTTTTATAACCAAGCTAAACGTCCGTTTTTTTAGAGAAGATTCGCACAGTGATCCGCGTGCCAACCTACGCGGTAACCAATTTTTTTAATTATTTATATTTTTTTATATGTTTTATTTATTGAATTTTATTTTCATGCATATTTATTTCTAAATTAAATATATGTCTTAATTATTTTTAATTGGTAAAAATAAAATTTATATTTTATATGATTAAATAATTGTAAATATAGTTTCTTTGTATAATTAATTTGTTTTATCTTGTAATTTTTAATAAATTTTGGATTAAGTGGAGATTTAATTAATGGTGTTATAAAAAAATTTTAAAGGCGAAGAATTTAAAAATTATTTTTAAAATAAAAAACTTTCATTATTTTAAAAAATGATAAAAAATTAATAAAGTATTAAAAAATATTTTATAGGTAAAAGATTATAAATTAATTCTTTTTCATAAAATGAAAGATTAATTCAAAGAGGGAGTTTTTTAAGGAAACGTTTTTTTTTTAACAATATCGAAGTGAGAAAAACTTTTAAAGATTCAATCGTTACATTAGAGAAAGCCTAATAAAATTTTCAATAATAAAATAATAAATAATAACTAAAATAATTAAAAATAAGATCATAATTAAGGCTATCTAAAATAATATAAAATTAATTAATATCATCTTTTGAAATGACGTTGTGGAGTGTTAATAACTTTTTTACACTTATACTCTTGAACTTTATTCTGTAAGGTAGATAAAATTTATTCTTTTTAAAAAAATTTAATAAAATTTAAAATTTTTGAACAGGGATAAATTCAAATAGGTAAACTATCATATTTAACAAAAAAATATTAATAACGATTTATTTTTTGTGTTCAGTGGAAAAGTTTTGAAACTTGAGAATATGACAATCTTTATTTCTTAATATTTAATTCCTACTTCTCTCTTACTTCACTAGGTTTGACAGTGGGAACACTAGAAAGTTAATCAGACGTATATGGAAGAGCGAGAGAAGTTTGGATTTGATGTACAGAGCATAGACTGTTGTCAAACATTCATATTCCAGGGTTACGAAGACATGTGATGAAGGAACCGCACACTTGATCTATCAACTGAATTCCAATCAAAACGATAGATTCTTGCTTTACATTTCACACTTGATGTTGATGTATATATGTTTCTATTTCACAAATACAAGAAACCATACTCTTGCCTTCATTTCACACTTTATATATATATATATATATATATATATGTTTCTATATTTCCTCTGTCAACAAATACAATATTATAGAGACTCAAGATGTGAAGATTTATGCATCCAGAACCAGTCTCCTCGAAGAAAGCAATGGATTCTTTGAGACAAACAAAGTCAAATTCTGACATTGCTAACCTGGTCTTAAGTTAAATAATAATATGAAAGCCTACATGCAGCCCAAGTCCTCTCATTTCGACGCGTACCCTATAATGCCACTACGCACCAACATGATACTGATTCTTTTCTGATTTCATTCCACTATGGGGTTCCATCAGCAGTTTTCGGACATCAAAGTCGGATTTAAAGGGGGAATATCCAACCAGATGCACTCAATTATTTGTTGCTCATTTTGGATGTCATGTATCAGCACCTTAAATACTGCTATATTCCAGCATTTGCTTCATAATAATTCTTCACGGAATGTTTACCAAAGGATAGCATTAAACATAACTATAGCTGTATTAGCATATACAAATTAGAATGTTATTTCCAACAGTTACATGTAAAGATAAATCAAGAATCAGATGCAACATCATCTAGAAATGTTCATTGAAATTGGAAAGGATACAGAAGACTGCACAAACACAAGAAACCAGATAATTATGCCCTTAAGCCAAAAAAAAGTTCAATACATCCATGACAAGTCTTTCCGGAATGATATAGATCTAGCAGCTCCATGGACAGCTCTTTTAGAAATTTGGGGACAATCCTCAACAGCCAACAAGTCCAGTTTGTACGTACCAACAAGAGTTTTGAATCCATCATCTGTAATCCCCAAACATTTGCTCAGCCGCAAAACACAGAGATGTGGAAACTGGCTTACAAGCTGCAACCCCTCATCACTAATTTCTTGGCATCTCACAAGCTCCAAGGTTTCTAGATGCTGAGCTGAGCATAGAGCTTCCATCCCGACATCATTAAAGGAACAGACAAGGTCAAGAGCAAGTTCCCGAACTGGACAACTTTTTATCACGCTAAGAATTCCATTTAAAGTAAATGATGAAAACGAAGGAAACTCTCCACCAGAGAAAGATATCCTCACTGTTTCAAGCATCAAACAGTTTTGAGCAATGGCTTTTAGACTCTCGTCAGTTAATATCAATGGATTGTTCATCAATAAAGGCAGTGGGACATCAGAAGGAACTCGGAGGGATATAGACCGAAGATTACTAGATTTTTTTGCTAAGCTTACAATATCAGAGTCTCTTACTCCAATGCACATGTCCAAGTGAATCTTCTCCAAGTTAAGGCACTTCCCTAATACACAAGCCAGCCCTCGTCCAGGGCTAATGATGCAATTTACCAAGCTAAGCTCCTGCATATTTTCACATGGGATCCACTGCCTTTGCCATCGATCTACAGAGCGGTCATAAACTTTCATATATCGGTAATTAGCATCCACCTCAAATTGCAACCGTTTTAACTTTTTCCAACTTGGTCCTAGCTTTATTAAATCACCCTCCCCAATTGCTCTACAATTTTTAATAGATAGATCTTCAATTATTTGAAGCTTGCCAAGATATTCCAACCACTCAAAACTGTGAACATTTAGGCAGCGAATAAGATGGAGAATTGTGAGGTTTCTGCAGCCTACAACAAGGGATAGTATGCCGCAACCAGTAATTCTTGGGGTAAAGTTCAGCTTTAAGGCTGAAAGCTTGGAGCAAGAAGCCAAGTAACTAAGACCCATATCAGTGATGAATGTGCAATAGCTTAAAGTGAGATCACTTAGTGAAGGGCAGTTGCCAGAAAGAACCAAGAGTCCTTGGTCATCCATTTGTTTGCCCAGTTTGGACATCCATCCAGAGTAAGTGATTTCTACTTTTCTTAAGTTGGGAAACCTATTGCAGAGGGAAGCCAAAGCTTCATTCGCAGGATCTAATCGACAACCAACTCGAAGATAAATTCTCTGTTCCTTATCCAGTTCATAAAGGCGTTTACACGCTAATGAAACAGAGTTTCGGTCCCCAGTTTCCCTAACCCTGCCTAAAATCTCCCAAACTAACTGTTCTGGTAACTCATCCATTGCAAACCAGGTAACATTTGCCTCAAAGGAGGCACATCGACAAACAGCCTAAAAATTCATGCAGGAAACAAAATATCAAAATTTAGTTCTAAAAAACACGAAAATAGCAATGTCTACACTGTATCAGATCACAGAAATTTCACAAATGTTGCAATAAATATATCTCCCTAAATTTTTGCATATAAACGAAAATTCTTCAGTCCAACAATTAGTAAACAACAAGGTACAGAATGCACTTAATTAAACAAAATCTAGAAATCTAATTCCAAACATAAAAAAGCCTAAGATACTTGGATTCAGATTTTATGGACCTACTCGGAAATAAGATGAGCCAAACCAAAATTAAAATGTTCTTAACAACCTCAAAGGCAAACGTTTCATTCCAAAGTTTCATAAGAACTCATCATATACAGTAATGCAAATATATATATATATATATATATATGTATATATGTCTATCGCTTCTGTGTTGTCGTTCAAAGATCAAATATAAACAATCAAACAAAACCGAAACAGGAGGAGAAAAAACACACGATCTGATAAGCAAGGCAATGATTTCAGCAAAAATCAAGAGAACCCATTTAACGAATCATTTCCCAGAAAATAAATCTAAATGAAAATTCGATATCTAAAAGTGTAAAATCTACTTTGCTTAATAACCGACATGAAATCATTGAATTCTAACTCACAAAAAAAATCTGGAAAACCCAGATAAGGATTTGGTTCAACTGGCGAAGAACAATAGATTAGAAAAAAGAGTTAGGGAGAGATTCTTTATAATTCAAAGTTTTACCTGTAAAGGATAAGAGCAGCAATGATCTTGATGAAAGTGAGTAATGTTTGAAATGTTGATTGTTGATTCGTTTCCTTTGTTTCAGTTTTTTTACTTTGCTTGTCATTGTAAAGTTCTAATATCCCTTTGCGGCATGCGGCGGTTTTGCCGGTAGTCGGTTGGTGGCAATAATCAATGCCTTGGTATTACAGAAATATCCATGTAAAATCATTTATATATTACCTTGAGTTTTTGCAACTAAAAAATTTTGGAAAAAAACAAAAAGAGCATTGCTATTGGCTAATTCATATCCAAGCAATATTCCAGGAGTTTTCGATATTTATTAAGAGGATATATTAAAAAGAAATTTGTAATTATTTTAATTAGATATAATAATAAATTCACATAAAATTTAAAAATTTTGGATAAAATTTAAAATATTTTTGACTGTATTAATTTAAAAATAAATCAAAATATTAGATAATTTTAATTCTTGTTTTTGTATTTACTCAAATAAATCAACAAATGTGTTGTTTTTTTATTATTATTATATAAGAGCAGACACAAACATGTTAATCACATATTATTTTATGCTCATTTTCTTGCATAAAACGCACCGTTTGAATAAGAAATTGTTCTACGACCAAAAAGAATAAAAGAATAAAAGGTTGTTCCACCAACAAAAGTTTTCAATTGACCTGTATTTCAGCACATCTAAACATCTATTATGGGTTTTTAATTCATGTTATCAAAACCCGAGTACCATTAAAAATAATGTCACGTTTTAAGTTTGTTTAAAAGCTTGCATTTCGTAAGTATAATAAAAATATATTGAATATATATAAATGTTTAGATACTAAATAATGAAGAGAAAAAATAAAATATTTTTGTTAATTTTTTTTGCTAAGTTATGTATAGTATTTTATATTTTTGATAAAAATATTAAAATTAATATATATATATAGTATTTCACATAGTAAATTACATTTTTTGTTAATTTTTTATACTATGTTATGAGTGTTGTATTTTTTATTAATTATTTGATCATATATATGATTTCTCAGTTTATTGTAAAAATTTTGTAAAAATTTTTTAAAGCAGAAAAAATAAGAAAAGTAACTTAATTTTTAGTTTTTGTTTTTATATATTTTATATTTATATTTATTATATTTATAATTATATTTTATTATAAACAAAAAATTATAAATATTCAAAATTCATAAAATCTCACCAATCTAATATACATATTACATAACAACATAAATAAATAAGTTTGTCACATAAGCGCTTATATAGATAAATAACACATGGGATGGTTTTTTAAAAGAATAATATAATTTTTTTAATTACAAATTAGATAATTTAAAAATTATAAAAATTAAGTTTATCTAAATCTTTCAACAATCTTTTTAATCTTGATTTAAAAAATTATCTTTTTAAAAAATTTACGTAAGGCATTAAAATTCAAGCAATTTTATATAAGATTTTAAAAATTCAAAAAATTTCATTTTAAATCTTTAAATAATAAGATTATCAAAATGATTATATCTATTTGAACTCTAATTATCAAATTTATATTTCAAATAAATATAAAATATTTTATTTTATTTTTATCACTTATTATATTCGTTTTAAATTTTAAAAAATTAATTTAAAATTTATCTATTTAATTATAATTGCCACTAAAAAAATTTTCTATAAATTTAGGATTACAAATGTAATGTGTTATACATCAATTTTTTTATTTTTTTAGTAACATTTTTTAAGGTATATTCTATTACTATTACAATTTTTTTTTTTGTTTATAAATTTTTTTAAGATATATTTTATTGTTATTACAATTTCATTCATATGAAAATAATTTTTTTTAATTTAATTTTTTTCACATATTTTCTAACATTTTTCATATTTTGTATAATAATTTTGTCAAGATTACTAAAGTATAAATGTGTTAATACTTCTTTTATTATTTAATTTATCATTCAATAATATATATTTTTTAAAAAATATAATTTATTTTTATTTGATATAATTTTACAGGTGTATAAATATTATTGTAAACAAAAATATCTAAAGGAAAGATAGATTTTTTTTTTTGCTATTTTCTGAATGTTTATTTTTAATGACAAATCAATATATATAAATTTTATATATGTCATGAGTTTTAAAGATTTGAATATAATTTTGAAAAGAAACTAATTTGTATATATATATATATATATTCATATTAAATAAAAAAATTATTTCATACAACGCACGAGTAATAATCTAATTACAAATCTATATAAAAAAAACAGTCACATTTTTTTAAATTCAATTAAATCACAACTTACCATGTCTCAGTCCAATCAAAGCCCAATACCGTATTATCTATAAAATCCAATAGCATATTTCACTTCTTTATCAATCCATAGTTATTTGATAAATAGAAAGCAATTTAGCATCTCATAATTCAATTGAGAGTTTTCCTCATTTAAGGATAATTTTTATTATTTATTATTAATTAATTTACTGTGAAAAAAAATTAGCAACCTTATCACATCCATTCAAATACACTATCAATTAATTTTATATTACCTTTAAAAGATCTTTATTAAAATGATATTTATTCTTAATTAAATTTCATTAGTTAAAATATTAAAGAATTTGTATATTTTCTCCAATATTATGATAAAATCTTTAGAAAATTCTTTTATCGCAAGGATATTCAAAAAATTCATTTGTTCCTTTAAAAAGCTTCACTATAAGATTAATCCAACATTTTATGAAAAAAGTTTTTCATAAAATTTCATTTCATATTTTAATTCTAACACTCTCGAAAATGTATTTTCAATAAGCGTTATGATTTTTTCATAAATGCATTGTCGAGAAGTATTATAATTTTTCAGAAATATATTTTTGAAAGTTATAAAATTTGTGAGATGGGTATTTTAGTAATTTCACTTTTAAAAAATTTTGAAAAAAAAAGTGTGGTGTATAGAGCAAAAACGTGGGGTCATTTAGAATTCCCTTAAAAATAATCATTTCTACTTTGAAAGGATTGAATTATCCTACACTAAGAGCATGATTAATCTTCCTTGTAATACTATCACTTTCTTTAAATACAAACCAAACATAATATAGGAATACAGTTTAAGAAACTTTCCTTCTTTTTTTTTTGGTACTAATGAGAATTTACGAGTCTTTTCCCAATCTTAGGTACTTTTAAATCTTAATTCCTTAACTAGAACCCTTTTAAACTTTGTTCCAAAATATAGGTGTTTTCACTCAATTAAATTCCATGTTAATATTTTATTACACGGCAGCTTCTCATTTCCTAACTCTTTTCTCTTGCTTCTCCCTACAAGGTTGTGCTTGCAAGCTAAAGTCAAAATGTTTAGAAAGTACCTGAATCAAACTGGATTACAACTTTCATGAAACGTTCAAAATGTAAAGCATTAACTCTTCTAATTTCATCAAATTTCCCACAATTTTTCGTTTGGATTTAAACCCCAAAAAATCAATTATGCTCCACATATCAACTCCAAAATGAAATCTAAAAGCTTTAATAAGAAAAACCAAAATTTGCAGAGCTTTTTTCAACTTGAAGAAGCCCAAACAAATGGAAATAAAAAATATCACAAGTTCTTCTTTTTTCAAATCCTTCTCTTTATCTTTTCCACAACTTACAACCCTAACCAAAGCCAATTTTAGAGAGCCTAAACACTTCCTAAATCCACCATGAATGACAAGCACATTATCATCTTGTCCCATTTCAAAGAAAACTCATACAAGTTCAAAACTTTAATAGTAACCTTCTTTTCATATCCCATTATCACCATAATTGCTACCTCTCCTTCCATAGTCCACAATTGGTTCTTTAAACTTCTTTCATCTCCACCGTATTCACCACTGAAAGAAGCGAAATGAGTAAGTATTTGTCTATGGAAAAGTTGGCTAAGATATTTTTGGGTGTTGATGAGGTTAAGAAGCCTACAAGGGTTGGGTGAGTGCTTGGTATGCTTATTGACTTTCTTTAGAGTAGGTCCAGGACAATTGTGTTGATGCTTTTGTTAGTTTTGAATTTGGAGGATTAAAAAGTGAAGGCTGAAGAAGGTCTAGGTGTCTTTGCTTCAATGGCTAACAGGAGATTATTTGTTTTTTAAAAACTATATATTTTAACACACTTTTTTTCTTCAAATTTTTTTTTCTAATTTGATTTAGTTAGTTTTTGAACATTTTTAGTTTGCAAGCAACCTTGCAAAGAGAGATCGGGGAGAGGATTGAAGAAGAAGAAACTGATGTGTAATAAAATGTTGATGTGCAATTTAATTAAGTGAAAGTACCTATATTTTGGAATAATGTTTAAAAGCATTTTAGTTAAGACATTAAGATTAAAAAGTATCTAGACATGAGCAAAAACTTAGAAATTTATTTTATAAAGTACTTGTTAATTGACTACAATATAATTCAATAATGAATTTATAAGAACAATTAAAGCTATCCTTAACCTAGAATTACTAACCAAATCATATATGTCATAAAAATTTATTAAAAGGGTAATTTAGAAATATGTAATATTAAAATAGAGTTTTGGTAGCATTTGTAGATTTTTAATGTCATATATTCAATTAGAGCTACATTTACTTTATAATTGGTTGTCGACAAAATTTGGAAGATTTTGTTGAGTATTAAATTTAATTAAAAAATGTTAGCACCTAAAACAATCTGAAAAAGAAAATCCCTTCGCTTCTAAAATTTTAATTACCAACATCAACATCACCACTAAAAATAGGCTTGGTACTTTTACAATCAGCCCACTAGCACTAGCTCCGTAGCCACAATAATTCAAAGAAAAGCAACAATAAAAATCCATCAAGCGATCCATAATTTCAACAAAAAATCCATCAATGAAATTGCCTTTTCTATACATGTCATAACTTTTAGGTTGAGAGAACCTACCCATTAGACACAAAAATCACGGAGTTACAATCAATCTTTTTTATCTAAATGTGATTGGCCACCTAAGTGAATCTATCCTTTTAAGGTTATCCTAAGTCTAAACTATGGGTCCCAAAAAAAATAAATTTTTGTCTACATGATTGGAGGTAAGGTTCAGGAATTGGTTACATGTAGGGAAGGTATTAGCACTCCATTATGCTAAAAATTGGCACCAAATTAATTATGTATTATCCTAACTAAGCCTTAATCAATGATGGTTTTTTATAATGCAAATAAATTAATTCCAAACC